ATTCGAACCTGCGACCCGCAGACTGCGAGTCGGGCGCCCTAACCACCTGACCATATTGTTATATTGACAAGAACTGCTAAATACAATGACGATTTTGGCGCTTTGTGCGGGGTCGCACGTTTCCCCACCCCGGGGGTCGGCCCCGAGTGTTTGTGTGCATAGAGGATGGAAATATTGGATAGCTTATAATTTATTACTCGAAATTCTTACTGGAATAGGACTTTCCCATTAACATTTATTTGTGGGCTTTTTTCCCCTTTTTATACATCAACTTGATATTTAACATATGATTAATAATGAGTGTGTGGTGTGGATAAACTGAGTCGTGGGGCCAGGTCTGTTCCGCTAACTGGATCACGCTGGTCTGAATGATTGTACCCTGAGGGTGATGTAGGAGTGTCATATCCGAACGCTGATCCCCAGGGGACCTTAAGAGCAGGTGTCAGGATTGGTGACAACTGATTGAACGGTTCGTCAGTCATAAATAGAAACACACCATACTATTATCAACTAATACTTTATATATTTATTGTTATTCTTCGTAGGAAACATTTTTGGATCATGTAAGAATGAAATATTTTAAGCAATAGACACAATAATGATAACTGAAAAAAAAAACTGGTAAAATATAAAAAAATATAAGAAGCACTAAACACGTCTTGAACTTCGCATAGACAACGTCCTTATAAAGGTATGAAGTGGTGGATTAATTATAGAATTTACACGAATCAGCACGAAGAAACAACTAAACAGATAACGACATTTGACAGTAACATTAAGATAAATATATCCGTATACTACTTCGGCTATACCCTCAATACATTGTGAGTACACCTACAACAAGGCCGAGCATCTGTTTCTGAACAAGAAAAAAAATGCCTAATTTATATCATGGGGACGAATAGTATATTCTTTAAAACTGACGAAACAAAATGTTAATTACCTACCTGCCACGGAAACTCCCCATATAAAGCTTCGTGCCCTCCAATAATACGACTTTGGGGTTTTGCTGTTGGACGCCCACACACTGGAAAAACAGCTGTTATTTAGACATTAAAAAAGTTGAATATCAATCTGCATCTTAGAAATACCAAACATATTTATTTATGTACCATAGATACCAAGCTGTATGTTTTATCTCTCTATATAAAATGTCTATGTTTGATTAACTGAGTGTGTTTTTCTATATAAAATGTCTATGTTTGATTAACTGAGTGTGTTTTTCTATATAAAATGTCTATGTTTGATTCACTGAGTATATTTTTCTGTATAAAATGTCTATGTTTGAATAACTGAGTATGTTTTTCTGTATAAAATGTCTATGTTTGATTAACTGAGTCTGTTTTTCTATATAAAATGTCTATGTTTGATTAACTGAGTGTATTTTTCTCTATCAAATGTCTATGTTTGATTAACTGAGTCTGTTTTTCTATATAAAATGTCTATGTTTGATTAACTGAGTGTATTTTTCTCTATCAAATGTCTATGTTTGATTAACTGAGTGAATTTTTCTATATCAAATGTCTATGTTTGATTAACTGAGTGTGTTTTTCTATATAAAATGTCTATGTTTGATTCACTGAGTATATTTTTCTCTATCAGATGTCTATGTTTGATTAACTGAGTGTATTTTTCTATATCAAATGTTTATGTTTTATTAACTGAGTCTGTTTTTCTATATAAATTGTCTATGTTTGATTAACTGAGTGTATTTTTCTATATCAAATGTTTATGTTTTATTAACTGAGTGTGTTTTTCTATATCAAATGTCTATGTTTTATTAACTGAGTGTGTTTTTCATCTATAATTCATTGTTATACATTCTTCTTTACTTGCCCTCCAGTGGCTCAGCGGTAAGTCTGCGGTCGAATAATTCACTAGTCGAAACGTTATGAAAATAATAATACACATAATAAAGACGAAAATAATAGTCCGAATAATTATACAATTAGTAAAAACAAAACAAGCTGAAAACAGACAAAAAAATATTGATTCATATAGGATAACAAAAAAAAGGTTGGTACTCATCTAATCTTACTCATATTTGGTGTTGGAAGTTCAGGAATACTGGTAGTGTCTTCAAACATCAAATATGAGTAAGATTAGGTGAGTGTTCAGGAATACTGGTAGTGTCTTCAAACATCAAATATGAGTAAGATTAGGTGAGTGTTCAGGAATACTGGTAGTGTCTTCAAACATCAAATATGAGTAAGATTAGGTGAGTGTTCAGGAATACTGGTAGTGTCTTCAAACATCAAATATGAGTAAGATTAGGTGAGTGTTCAGGAATACTGGTAGTGTCTTCAAATACCAAATATGAGTAAGATTAGATGAGTGTTCAGGAATACTGGTAGTGTCTTCAAACATCAAATATGAGTAAGATTAGGTGAGTGTTCAGGAATACTGGTAGTGTCTTCAAATACCAAATATGAGTAAGATTAGATGAGTGTTCAGGAATACTGGTAGTGTCTTCAAACATCAAATATGAGTAAGATTAGGTGAGTGTTCAGGAATACTGGTAGTGTCTTCAAACATCAAATATGAGCAAGATTAGGTGAGTGTTCAGGAATACTGGTAGTATCTTCAAACATCAAATATGAGTAAGATTAGGTGAGTGTTCAGGAATACTAGTAGAGTCTTCCAACACCAAATATGAGTAAGATTAGATGAGTATTCAGGAATACTGGTAGTGTCTTCAAATACCAAATATGAGTAAGATTAGGTGAGTGTTCAGGAATACTGGTAGTGTCTTCCAACACCAAATATGAGTAAGATTAGATGAGTATTCAGGAATACTGGTAGTGTCTTCAAACACCAAATATGAGTAAGATTAGATGAGTGTTCAGGACTACTGGTAGTGTCTTCCAACACCAAATACGAGTAAGATTAGATGAGTATTCAGGACTACTGGTAGTGTCTTCCAGCACCAAATATGAGAAAGATTAGGTGAGTGTTCAGGAATACTGGTAGTGTCTTCAAATACCAAATATGAGTAAGATTAGATGAGTGTTCAGGAATACTGGTAGTGTCTTCAAACATCAAATATGAGTAAGATTAGATGAGTATTCAGGACTACTGGTAGTGTCTTCCAACACCAAATATGAGTAAAATTAGGTGAGTGTTCAGGAATACTGGTAGTGTCTTCAAATACCAAATATGATAAGATTAGATGAGTGTTCAGTAATACTGGTAGTGTCTTCAAACACCAAATACGAGTAAGATTAGATGAGTATTCAGGACTACTGTTAGTGTCTTCCAGCACCAAATATGAGTAAGATTAGGTGAGTGTTCAGGAATACTGGTAATGTCTTCAAACATCAAACATGAGTAATATGAGTAAGATTAGATGAGTATTCAGGAATACTGGTAGTGTCTTCAAATACCAAATATGAGTAAGATTAGATGAGTGTTCAGGAATACTGGTAGTGTCTTCCAACACCAAATATGAGTAAGATTAGATGAGTGTTCAGGAATACTGGTAGTGTCTTCCAACACCA